CCGCATTGCTCATTTCTGCACTAATTTCCCCTCAGTAAAGTCCTTTTTCTCCGTTTCCTATCTCTCTACCACCGAGACTGTAGTTAGGCCGAGCTTAGTTTAACAGATATTTCACACTTTCACATATCAACTACATAAATTGTAGAGATAAATGAGAGAATACAGTCTTTTCTATTTCCGACAGTACTATAGTATGGTGATCTACCTTGTGTTGTTGGCGATCTATAGCCTGTTTTTATATTGTATTGTCCAAATAGTGCTATTGCTTTTAACTTTCCACGCTAGTTCTTATTGTGATATTATAGTTGCTGTACTGTCTTCCGTCGACAGATTTTTATAATATACATTTATTCCATTTCTATGTCAAATATGTTCTCGTCACGATATCGCTGAAATATTGCCGGTATGACGTTAAATTTTAACTCACTCACTGGATGAGAACATGGGACGTCTCAACGGTGCCGACCGACATATTGCCGTCGACAAGGTGGCGAATCAAACAGTGTCGTGGCGAGGACCTTCACCGTTCATCCCAGCACAATAACTCGTTTGTGGGATCGTTTTGTGCATTCCAATTCGACAAATGACAATCCAAGACCAGGAAGACCGCTACCAGGAAGTCCAGCCCAAGATCGCTACATCCTGGTAACCCACCTATGTGACTGCCATCGTTCCGCCCGGGACACAGCACAAGAACGGTTTCGAGCTCGGAGAATGTTCCACACGACAATCCGGAACCGTCTCCGAGAGGCAGGTATGCGTGCCAGATCGAGGCTCAAAAGTTGCCCCCTCTTTGACACGATTACGTCAACGTCCGCGAGTGGTGGTGTAACACGATTCAGCCATGGAACCATGGAAACTGGAGGCGCAGTGATGCATCGTGGTATCACCCTCAAGCGATGTGACGGAAGACGTGTCTACAGACCGCACAATGAGCGTTTTGCACCCCACAGCATCAGGCAAGTGGACAGATTTGGTGGACGTGGAGTGGGGGGAGCCATTTCATACACCTGCAGATCGGAATTGGTGCTGGTCCAAGGCAATCGACCAGATTCTGTGTCCTCACGTGCATCGCCTTGTCGACCGCCAGAGGGGGCTGTTCCCACAGGACAACACCATACCTGACACAGAACATGCTACAGGACTACCTGGCTGGGCGGAACAAATTTCTTCCACCGGGACCTACGTGGAAGAAAAACGCACAGCTTAAAATCACAGAAACCTTAATTGCTCGGCTATAAATTTGCATAAAAACAAACGGAAATATTCTCCGTGTAGCTCCAGGATCCAGCTATCACACGACACGCAGCATGCGCGTGTAAGGCGATTTATGCAGCTCCCACGGGAGCCGTGCTGAAATAGGTGATACAATCTGGGAGGCCAATAACAACATCAATGTCCTCCCCTGGCCCTTCCCGGATCTGAAACCAATTTATTTTCTGTGGGATCAGATCGATAAACGCGTACGTCGACGTCGTAATCCGCCATTAACCCTTGAACAGTTGTTCAACATGCTGCAGCAGGAATGGAGAAAGATTCCACAACGAAACATCCAACAACTGATTCGATCTGTTTCAAGGAGGTAAGTAAGAGTAAGAGGTGGTCATACAAGGTAGTAAAGTCAACGCCACCTTGTGGATAGCAGTAATGACTATGATGACTGCCATTCTTGTGCAATGTGCACGAGATACCAATGTATTGCTCTACATAAATTCAATGCTGTACCGTTTATTTTCGTTGATATACATATAATTGAATAAGACCAAATGTTTCAATGATGTTTTGCTTTTGCGTTTATTTTTTCGAAGAATGTGTATTATCAGCTCCTGTAGCAATATCTACTCGCCATGCACAGGGCTGATAAAGCCTGGAACCGAACCCATTCTCCCACCCGTCTAGTTGATCATGAGGTCAGGTGTTGAGGTGTGTTTTGAACGAAAGGAACACGATCCCTGAATTGTGTGTCTCAACTACCCTAATCCCGTCGTCATCGAAACACAGGGGTGCAACCAACGGCACACAGGTTCCCCAGACTACCCCACCGCCCCCTACTCACCACGAAGAGGTAGCCCTTCAAGAGTGCCACGTAATGCAGTTACACAATACATTTTTCATACACAAGGGTACTAAGCGGAGGATCCTGTGAGTAAAGTTTTCATCACGTCTGCAATATTAAAGCCATACTGGAATGAATACAAGGTATTGTCGACAAAAGGCAGTAAACCTTGATTGTTGGATGAGTGTCATATTTAGGTAGTAACTGAATATATTATTATCATATTATTATCCCCCGCCACGAAGTGGGAAGGGTATACAGGTTTGATCTCCGTCCGTCCGTCCGAGATGATGGCGACAGTTTCTCCAAAACCATTATAGATATGGAAACCAAATTTGGTATGTGTTTTCAGAACATGAATGCCTTGACGGAGTTCGAAAACGGAAACCGCGTTACAATTTGTTACAGAGTTATGGCCCTTGTCACGCTTTTCTTGATTTAGTGCACGGTATCCCCAATTGGGACAGATTTTCTCAGAAACCATTAAAGATGGGGAAACGAAATTTGATATCTGATTTCAGAACATAAATGCCTTGATGATGTTTGAAAACCGAAACCCTGTTACAATTTGTTACAGTGCTATGGCCCTTGTCTTGACTAAGTGCGAGGTAATCCCAATGGGGAGAGATTTTCTCAAAAACCTTTTTTTGATAGGCAAACCTAAATGTGGTTCGATTTTTAGGACACAAATGCCTTGATGGACAAAATCATAGCCACAATTAACAATTAAGCATAGGTTGCTATGTGTTTTCGATTAAAATTAGTCAGAGTATGATTGAGGCAGCGAAAAACTAAATATTTCAAAATACATTTCATATGGATCCTTTCTTCAAGCAGTGACTTTAAGCCATATATAGCTGGATCTGTTTAGATTATAGACTGCATACAAGATATGATACTTTTGTTACAGGACGCCTAGCCTCACTAGCGTAATGCCTCACCACTGGCGAATTGAGAGTTGGCAGATACAAATGTTACTGAAGATGTTGGTCCCGCCAGTATCAAAGTTTGGTATGTTTACTCTGTAACTAGCACCCTGCAGTGAGTTTTCCTGCACATAACAAACCCTTAACTCGGGAAAATCTAGACATGCTTCATTTGGGGCGTTAGGGCTCGGCGGAAGGGAAAGTAATACATCGTTCTGAGATTGTGATACAGACTAGTTAGGACAGGATATGGAAACATTTGGACGACAATAGTCTCTTAATTGTAAAGATGCTTCAAAATAGTTCAAATTAAATATCGATATCCTTCTACATTCGGGTGAAACTGGGCAATACACCTTTACTTCGACACAGGAACCAACTTTTACACGCAATTCAAAAGTACCAAAAGCACGAGTTTGTGATTTGTCTTTTCCCCATCCACGCATAACCCTCAATGACAAGGGTCTCCAGGTCACGGGATATCAGTTTTGCCTTGGTCCAGGGCCCTCATTGTAATCATTTTGGTGACGCAGCAGGGACATCACTATTTGATAATGATTCACAAACACATGCTCTTGATACTCGTGCAATGGATTATGCTTTTAGCAGAGATTTCTCAAACAAACGGGTTTTTTTTGTAGGAGGCTTGAAACTTGTTTTAACAAAGGTCCATACATTCTATGACAATATTACGCTTTTCGTTTTACAACTTAAACATGCTAAAGTGAGTGAGTGAGTGAATGAATTTAGTTGTATGCCGCACTCAGCAATATTCCAGCTATATCCAGCTGTAAATAATCAGATATGGACCAGATAATCCAGTTATCAACAGCATTAACATCGATCTACGCACTTGGGATACGATGACATGTGTAAACCCAGTCAGCGAGCCTGACCATCCGATGGGTTACTGAAGATCAGTTCTCCACGGGTCGGCATTTTAAGTAAACGTGTATGTCGTCAGAACAAATCATGATCAAAACAACTCTTTCGACCTCATAGTACTTCGAAAATATTGCCCAATCAGCAATTAGCTCAAAACGATATCGCTAGATTTTCTACAAGCGTTGGTCCACACGGGGGATAGCTATTAGCGTTACATAGCACGAGCATGTCCTGAAAACACATACAAAATTTGGTTTCCCTATCTATAACGGTTTGTCAGAAAATCTGTTCCAATTGGGGGACACAATGCACTAAGTCAAGAAACGAAATACAAGGGCCGCAAAAAATGTTTAACCCGTGTTCTGTTTTCGAACTGCATCAAGGCATCCATGTCCTGAAAACACAACACACATATCTACAACGGCTTCTGAAAAAAATTTGTCCGCATCATCTCGGACGGACGAACGAACGGACGGACCGTCGGACGGAGCACACACTGGCGGGGAATAAAAATGCGCGTGCTTTAATGCAAATTAGACGGGACACGAAAGTGAGTAAAAATAACTTCATGAAATGAAACCCAAATTAAGTTAAAAACCTGCGCTTTTGAAACATACAATACAATAGTGACTGCAGCGTTACCAACGCCCACAGATTAAGGGAAGTTAAGTGTGTTCTCGTAGAGCTTAATGCTACTGCCAGCCTCAAATTACCTGATTGTGTACATGACATGCATGGGGGCCACTTACTTTGTACATATATCATTAATTAGGAAATACACAACTTTCTTGTCAACTTTTAAACAGCATTTACACTTTTAACATTTTATCCCATATCATAGCTCCATAGACACTAACGTTCTTTTGACATTAGAGAATGGAAAGAACCGAACGAAAAATCAACTTGCTAAAATTGTACCCAGAAGTATGAAATAGATATAGCCACAAGGAAAAATACTCTTTTTGGTCACTTCAACTTTTAGAGCAGAATTCTCAAACATTGAAAGCAGCAATGAACACTTGTAGGTCAGCGTTCCCAACAGTTACTTGTCACAATGAGTGACATGTGCGACGTAGACTCGACATTAATGAGGGCGACATCGTGACAACCGCGGCAGCTTTCTCTCACAGCAATCCATTGTGTCCGTGTACAAACAGCCTCGCTCTTCATGCTCCCTGAAAAGTGGATATATATTAAATATTTACGGATTATAAACCAGGTAAGGAAATTGAAACTGAGTTGAATTTCTCACACTAATTACAAGGAAAGGATTAGCAACTGAGATTGTTAGTGGCTGTATCCTTAAAGGGGGTTAAAGTGTTCACAGCTATTGTCCTCCTTAAAGGGTATGTCAGTCCATAAACATTTAAAGTAAATTTAGGCCTACCAGGGTTTTGAAGTGAAGATGTAAATCCCGTTAGGGTTCTTCCTGATGGCTGAAGTACTGTAAGTCCCAATGATCCCGAGTTTGGTATGTAGCCCGGGTTTATATAGTTTTGTCTTCAATATTAAAATAGTTTTCGAGTTACATGCTAGTTTTACATCTATGTCTGTCATATTTTAACTCCTTTTACTGTCCTTTCTTGGCAGGTTTGTACAATCTGAGTTTATGTATTTTAAACGTATAACTTGTTTTAGTCACGCCATGGTTGAAATACTTACTGCCTCAGTCACAAGAAAAGAACTCACACCACAGATAGTCAAATCTTCGTACTTCCCTTGCCACATTACGATTGCATACAAAACACAATACTTTACTGTAAACTTTACCACAAGACATTCATAATACTATATCAGTTTCACTAGTACAGTGGTATATTCCATCTTATATTAGGGAATGCTGCTTTTGTCTTGATGATGAATACTGTTTGCGTTTGTAAGTATGTTACCTCTAACTAAGCGTCGCATACGACAGTAATTAAAGAACATGAATGAAATGTGTGCACGACTTTTATCAGACAAGAGGACTCGCGGGGATCTCATTTCATGGCAAGAATCATAAAATTCAGCGAGCAAGGCGATGTGGAGAGACACGATTCGCCCCAAGCTATAACCAGTAGTATGCGTGACCCACATGTGCAATACATACTCCAGTAAATGCATATCAGGCAGACAATACAGTTCTGGTAGGCTTGGCTTAAATAGGACAAATGCCTTCATTTCTAGTCATTTGTAATCATTTGCTAATGGTAAAACACAACATCACTTCTATTCCAATATTCGCTCAATATCTGCACATTTGTAGTATGAGGTGCTCTTTCCATTGAATAGATAACAACATTTTCATTTCGGAGGAAACTGATCTTATAAAAATTTTCATAATTATTTAGAATTCATATTAAAATCATAATTTATTTATCGAGAACACTGCTAAATATTTATATAATGTGCGACAATTAAGTGTTCAGATCAATTTTAAGAAGTCCCTTCCAGTCAAAGTGATCATTATCACCATGTCAACCATTTTCAGATCATGTTCCTGATGATGCATTTCCAAGCACTGATGCTTGCGTTGTATACATGTCCAGTGCTTGTGACAGCAGTTGTGACAGAAGCAAGCGACGGTGAGTCAGTAAAGAGATTGAATACAATTGTTTCATGATATTTCGACGAGACAAGGAATGCTCTTTTTTAAACATGGAGTAGGTCTTGCTGTGTACAGAGACCATACCGTTAAATAAATATAAATACATATGCCTAATAATAGAGTGGTTGTACATTTATTTTTAAAACAGACAACAAAAGACTTATACCATAGGAAAGCATGATTCATGAGAAATCTAGGATCCTAGAATCAAGTCACTCAGGATCCAAAACACTACTTTCAGAATAACATAGATTCCCCTCAGGGTCAAATGACTCTCCTGGGAAAAACTTTAATCATTAATGTATTTAGGAGATAAACGTACTGTGTTTGGAAATTAGATGACGCGTTCGGCTTCAAATAAAATTTAGAGACTTTCAATTCGGTCTAACATTCATCTAATTTCCAAACACAGTATGTTTATCTCCACTCTACCATAACCGATTTAACATCGAACTTCCTCGTCCTGCGGAAGACACTGCGTAATCCGGCATGGGTTGAGAGGCGAATTGAACTCGTCTGATAAACATTGCAACATAAAATATATTCTATCCAAAGAAAACAAACTACTGTTTATTCAATGCAATAATGTAACACCTAAGAGCTTGGTTTTTATAATCATAACTCCACAAGACCGAAACCAGCCTATTGCTTTGTGTGCCGTATTACTGTACCCCCCTGGCCACAGTATAATGGAATCGTCTGACCTACTTATTTTCTTGGAAGTAGACAGTTACGCAACAGTTTGAAATGGCTGACGAGCCAGTGTTTACATTTTGCGAAAGGTTGAAATTCGAAGTGCAAGTGGAAAATACCTGACTGACTGTCGAGCCTGAACCCTGCAGAATCGAAAAATAGATCCTTTTCTGCTCGACCTATAACCTGTAACTCATCAAAGACTGTTGATTTTTATGACCGGCGAGTGTCGATCATGATGTCACGTACATGCCTCCACCCCGGCATGCGACGAAAGAGTGACAGTGCTACTTTGTGTACATGCGACTAACTTGGGATTCCTTGGAACATTGTTCTCATCATTTGGGACTGGCTTGTGGCCAAGCTTTTCAAAGTGTACGAACATAGCAGTGACAGCCTTCGGGGAAGGTGGCAGAGAACTGAATTCTCATGGTTCAGTTTTTGACATTTTGAACGATGCAACGGGACATGATGGAGTATGAGTGGCAAATTTTGTGTTTCGCCTGACCGTTATCTTGCGAATTTCCCATTCTAAACGGAAACAAATATACCATTTACCAGGTAGGTAAATGTTTACGAACGTTTTGCCGCACAAATAGGGATAGATAGGGATGTATTTTTTACAAGGTTTTCTGATTTATATGTTAGATATTGTTTGTTTATGTTTGGGGCTGTGTATTGTAATTGAGTTTGAATATTTTTATAATAGAAGGTAATAATTATGATAGTGAGGTCCCCTAATAATTGTGGAGGAGAAATCGTATAATTGTATTTTTTCGAGTTTTAATAAATGTTTCATCAGCATTTCCATCACGTCTGTTGTGTTGATATTAGTCATGTTGGTGGCCAAGCTGAAGTAGTGCGGCAGTGTTGTATACGTGCGCAGTGAAGCGCCGTGAAATCAGACGCATTTTCAATCCAAATTTATACCGTCTGATTTTATGGCTTGACCATTCAAATTCGAGCATTTCACGTAGCCATGGTAGAATTTTCAGTAAATCCACATCCATGACGTTACATGTTATAATTGGGATTACAATTTCCAGAAAAGTACAGTTTCTCGTACTTTGTTAGGTTGAGTCACATTGTCTGAGTAGTACCAGAATCTGTACCAGAATCTGTACTTCACTGAGAAAGTAACTGTACGAGCCCTGTGTGTTCTTGTTCTGAAACACAAAGCGGCGCGCAAATTACATGGTAACTACACGTTCCGGCATTGTTGATATTCACGTGTTTATGTTTTCCTCTCAGATTGCTAGTAAATCGTTTTTGTTCGTTTTTGTTCTGATCAGAGTAAAATATGTTACAATCACCATCTTCATACCGCGGAATTGGTTTTTCAAAACCATATGCAACAACATATAAGCTGGTGCTTGATAAGGTCTGATTCCTTCAGCAAAACTATACATTTGTCAACGCTGCGTATTTGTTTGCATAGATTCTCACGTTTCTATTAAAATCCTTCGATCACACTTTATCAGTAAGCCGGCCTGGACGACGTGGCTCACATTTCATGGCCTGACTTTTAGGCAGTCTCAACTTCTTTCTACTTTCTGCATAATCTGGCTTGAGTTCATTATTCGTTATATTCACTGTTGCCCAACTATCCTTCCCATCTAAAACAAATTGAACTGAGGTCTTCAACAATTAGAAAGAAAGATATTTACAGGTACTGTCATGCACCTAGAAAGAAACTAACGTGAATGAAATTGTGTACTAAATGCTAATAGATATTATTCTTGTCATTTGTGAAATAAAGGGAAACGTGTATGATGATTCATTTATCTATATAGTGACACCGGTTTACGGAAGAATGAGACATTTTCAGCTTTAATCGTCACTTGCTATGTTTGTCGCCCTGATCAAAGAATTTGAACTGATAATTTAAAAAACTGAATCATCTTAAATTCGGAAGGTTTGAACTTCTATTATCGCTAATATCACAATGACACTTGAAACCTACAGGTTGTGGATTTGAAGCCATCCCAAAAGAACCTTTCAAGTTCAGGTTCCGCATTTCGGGGAATCAATGGTTTTCAAAGGACTGTCCCTCCAATCACATTTACAACAAACACGCATGTGGATGTATCCCTGAAAATGCAGGTAAGTAACTACAAAGTATACGTTGTTATTTATGTTTTATTGTGCAGTATCTGTGTGGCCAAGTGGATAAATTGAACATTTAAATTGTATATGTTACAGATATAAGTTCTCTTTTGAATAACTTGATCTTTAAAAGAAATTGAAATAACTGATAACTTTTAAATGCATATATACTGTAAATAGTAGTATTTTTGTTGATTTTAACTGTTTGGCTTGACTTGCGAGTAGCAAGAGGGATGGGTGTAAATCCAATTGGGGTAATGTGTACGTTGCAAAAGTCCACATGCACACTGTTACTGGTTTGGTTGCCCTACAATGGTTACAGTGATTTATACATTGTATAGTTTTTAATAGCCACATTGTAATTATTTCATACCAGTTGCAAAAATTGTTCTGTGATTTCAATTTCTTTTAATGTCCTTAGTTATGGTAGATGTTATGGTAATATAATCTATTATTTGCTTATAACGTCAAAGTCAATCTGTGACTGAAATACTGATCATGGGTGGCTTAATCTTCTAAGGCACATCAAATCTAGGATTTGAACCCGAAATCGAAGAGTTCTGGAATCTCCCATGGCAAACTGGCTTTATAGGAGATTGCAGAACCCTTTCATATTTCCTTCAAATCCTAGATTCGCTTATAAAATGCCTGTGCTCATAGGTTGACTGACCAAATGATTGACATCTAAGCGCTGCATCACTTCCACATGGGCCAAACAATATTTGGCATTCTGTTATAAACGGGGTTTAACCAAACAAGTCGCTTTAATATCGGCATTCTTATAATATCTGTCCTCGACAAGGTCAGCAGTGAAGGTATCACTGAGTAAATATATACGTTTCGTTTATTTCGCTATTTCACATTTGACATGTTCATATTACTTTTCGTCATCGTCCGAACGAAAATTTGAGTAGGGATTTTTATGCTTACGGTCTAGCGTCACTGTGCCCTCATCTTGAAAGTTTTGTACGGTTAATATTCACTTATAACCTTGGGCCAAACGATATGTATATATGTCACTAAGTGAACGCCATTAGGTCAGTGTTTACTTATCTGAATGGCCACAGAAAGTCATGACAACAGCGATATCATCTTGTTCTGGTCATATTGCCGCTGTAAACGCAATCTGGCTAATACTCAGTTTTGTTGTGAATTTCTATTTATTGTGACATCACTCCATATACTCATATCTTTCATGACGCCATACTTGATACTCTCTTCAACCAGTTTTTTATAACAGTTCCAACATCAATAAATGTAGTTAATAGTGACCATTGATTTCTATCATTTTCTTACCTCATACATAATTATTGCTGCCGCGACCCGGTTAGAAAATGTCGCACCTAAAGAATTTTTGTTTAACAAGAGGTTTTCATAGCGCACAAAGCACAAAACTGTGTACAAAAGTCTTTGATATTGTTAACAGACAACGCCAACGGTTGAGGACATTACTACATTTGTGAGTACAACTGACCTTTAAGATGAAAAACATCAAACTGTGGAAAGAATTTGATGTTAACCTTGTAGAATTATTAGAAACTGAAGAAGGAATAACAGATGAAATAACTGATTCCGATGAGCTTCAGACTAATCTAATCGAAAAACATGATCAATACCGTGAGTTTATCAAAACGGAACATACAATACAAGATCTATTAGTGTAAATTGAGATTTGTCAGGTGATCATCAAACTTCTCCTAAACACTTTTCAAACCGTAAAAACGACACAGCCATTAAAACCAACACGTATCTGTTTTCCTTTTCTCTACCTAATGCACCAAAATCACTGAAGGCAGATTATTGTAACCTCAATGTGGAGACTTACACTCCAAACCCTCTTAGGTGCTTCAAATGTCAGAAGTTTGGCCATGGCGTAAATACGTGCACATTGTCTGTTGTGTGTGCTCACTGTGGTGAAAAGACACACACAACAGAAGATTGTGACAGTATTGTCAAAAAGTGCACTAACTGCGCAGGGAATCACCCAACTTACTCTAAAGACTGCCCCGTTTGGAAACAGCAAATGGCCATCAACAAAAAAAAATTCACGCAAAACATTAGTTTTGCAGAAGCAAAGAAATTAGCCCAAAGCTCAGAACAGACAGAAAGCTATGCTTCCATTGCCAGACCAACGACTGAGGCAATATCTAGAATAACTAAAGTGTCTGCAAGTTGTCAGACAAACTATACTTTGGTAAAAACAGATTCTCCTCAACTTTTATTGCCCGCTGCATCTACGCAAACAGGAGCATCACTTCCTGGTACATCTTGAACCCAATCAGAGACACCCCTTGATCATGACCAATCTTCTCAGTCGTCGACAAAGTCTCAACAAGGTCTCTGCCAAAAGTAAACAGCCAGATTCTTTTCATTTAACTCAGTGTCAGAGCCCCAAAAGGGTCAGAATTTTTTTTTTCAACTTTACAACAAATATGGATCTCTTGAGGATATGTACGCGTCCGAAAACGTCCGTTGTAGGGCACACAGCTTGTCGCCCACCAAGAAAGTGCGGGGTAGATCCCCAATAAATCCCCCTTAACTCATTAAGCCCGAGAGCCCCATCACTACTCAACACCTGGAAGCCCTCGCTGATTGCCCACTCTCTGTGCCGAGACTAATTAGTGCTAGTCACACCAGATTTCCCGGGCAGGTTTCCGGGATCACAGGAAACTGTCTAGTCGTACAAACAAGTTCTGATTGTTTAATTGTGTCGTAAAGATATAAACTCTGTCAAAAAAGAAACGCAACCCCTGTCCTCAGATATGAAAAATTCGTTTGAATGAAGTTATTGCTTCCAAACTAAATTTTATTCGAATGTATTGAAATGATACACGTAATTAATGAAGATTACCATCCAAACAACTGCATTTGTACGCATAAGTGTATTTTATTGCTTATTCCGTCACAACGCATGAAATGACCCTCATGGTGACTTCGCACAAAAAACACATGCAAATCATGAAAATGGCAGTTAATGTAGGGGTGTATAAAAGCCCATGTGCTTCCGTATTATATTCATTCATTTGTCGCCGAAAAGCTGTGTTAAAATGCCACGATTGAGTGCTGCCGACCGAAATATCGCCATTGGTCGTGTTCAAGCCGGAGAAAGTTTTGGAACTGTTGCACGGCACCTAAATGTTCACAAAACAACGATATCCCGACTTTGGAGCCGCTACAACAACTTCAATTTGACCAACGATCGCCCGAGAAGTGGAAGGCCAAGAATCACGACCCCTTCAAGATCGGTACATCCGGGTCCATCACCTGCGTAATCGGCATGCCCTACCAACCGTGACTGCCACACAAATACCAGGTTTGAGGAGAGTGTCAGCTCAAACGATTAGGAACCGTCGGAAAGAAGCGGGTTTACGTGCCTGTAGACCAGTTGTTGGACCTGTACTACGCCCCTACATCGACGCCGACGACTCAGGTGGTGCAACAACGTAAGGATACGGACTTTACAAAACTGGAGGCGAATCTGGTTTTCTGATGAATCACGTTTTCTTTTGCAACGTCACGACGGAAGACAGCGTCTGTATAGGAGACGTCATAAACGTTTTGCGCCCATCTGCGTCCGACAGGTGGACAGATTTGGCGGAGAAAGCGTCATGGTTTGGGGAACCATCTCATACAACCAGAAATCAGACTTGGTGATCGTTCCAGGGAACCTGACAGCCCAACGTTACATCAACCACGTGTTAGAGCTTCACCTTCTCCCGATTATTGACCAACAGACACAGATTTTCAACGGGACAACGCCCGGCCTCATACTGCACGTGCAACAATGAACTTTCTGCAGAATTCCAACGTCAATGTCTTGCCATGACCCTCTAAATCACCAGACCTCAACCCTATTGAACACCTGTGGGATACTCTGGATCGACGCGTCCGTCAACGTCAGCCGCCGCCACAGACGCTGCAACAGCTCGCCGTTGCACTGCAGGAGGAGTGGAGAGCCATTCCCCAGGAAAGAATCCGGCGTCTTATCCGTTCTTGTCCAAGGAGATGCCGTGCAGTGATTGCAGCGCGTGGTGCTCATACGAGATACTGAGAAAGACGCCCCCTGGTGACAAACTGGTGTCTGTGAGATGACTTTTGAAATGACAATTTTAAACATGCCCATCTGGGTTATTATTCTGCCAAATTTCAGACTCCTGTCTTAAATAATAAAAATGCCGTGTCGTCCTAAAACTTCAGATCAAAATCTCTAAAATACAGGGGTTGCGTTTCTTTTTTGACAGAGTTTATGTTGAAAGAAATCAGGTGTGAATACATGTCGTGTATTGCACGCTTTATGTGATTTTATTGCAAGTTTCTCTTGTAGACCTCTTGTCGGCTTGTACATTTCTATTTTATCACAATATGCATACACATGTATTCTTTGTATGTAACAGATGAGACACACGTTAACAAATTCTCTCTCTTATATCATTGTGTGAGGTTTAAATTTACAAAACATCTATGACAATGACATACTGTAAAGAAGAATTTACTTACATACTTTATAATCTTCGACGAAAATAGCTGTTTTGCCGATACATTTCTAGTGTTTACGAATTATTTTAATGAAAGTACTATAACGCTAGTCTGTGACTAGCACAAAGCACATTCATAGCATTGCACTTTATTGCATACAGATTTAATGCAGAAAACATACGCGACCATACAAACATACATATACAAAATGTATACTACATATTCCTTGCATAGACATAAAACAAAGAGTCACGTGATAGGGCGTCATCAAATTTCCCGAACAGTATCTCAACTGTTCAATGAAGTGGCTGGTCATATGTTATCTGCGACCAATCGTATCATGAGATACCTGTCACAGAGGAAAGGACAGGTGACGGGGCGTGGGGGAAATTTCGGAAGAGCACGTTTGGTCACTCAGCAGCTTGGATAGAGATTGGTTATTGGCTATATCATTGACCAGTCGATATGCGGGGTTTCGGCTTTATCAACTCAAGCTATCATGTAACAGTTTGTGTATTGTA